CAAGAACAAACTCCTTGTGCAGCTTGGGAATGAACTCATTCACACCCGTTACTGTTTGGCGTTCTTCTCTACACGGAGCTGCAATGGAAATGGACACTGCTGGTCTGATTGCCAGCCCCCTCCCGCATGCTCAGATCAGCCAAGTTTGCAAGGCCCGGCTCTTGGTGAGTTGTGCCCAAGGTCAGAGGTGGCTCTTCTCAGCTTTGAGCTGTGTTTTCCAGTTACCTGTTGTGCTACTCCTGTTGTGTTGAGCTCTTGAGCTGCAGCCCTAACTGGGGATCCAAGTAGACTGACACAGAAGGAATGGTTGAGATCCATGTGAGCTTGGATTGGAAATGCAGTGCCAAGGGCTGCACAAACGTGAGGCAGCCCTGAGTGTAAGGAAAGGCATCTGCTGGGTGAGGGCTTTGCTGGGTGAGCATCACCCTGCTGAAGAGCAGGCAGCTGCTGTCTTTGCAGACAGCCACATCCATGGGGACTGGCAGCTTGTTCTGCCTTCTGGCTCTTGGCTGCTGCTCTGAGAGTGGAGCTTCTTGCCCGGAGAGAACCAGCAGCAGAAGGGATCCCATGCGTGGCCTCTGAGCCCTTTCAGACCAACCAGCTGGATTAGCGTGGCTGGGACCTTGGTTTGGAGTTCACCCAGCAGGCTTTGCCCAAAGCAGAATGAGCTGTGGGCACAGCGTCCAGCAGTGGAAGTGACCGACAGCTGGAGACAGCAGCAGCCTGAGCGGCGCTCTTGGGGGAAATCCTCACTGAACAAAGGCCCAGAAGAAGAGAGCAGCTTGTCCCTGTGTTCACATAGTCGGGTTTTCCTTTCTGACCTGACTGTTAGCTCAGGCGCTGCCTACAGCTGTGTGATGTGCTCTGCAGGAAGTGCCGATGGTTCGCATTCCACCTTGTCTTTCACCTTGTTCTCAAGCTTAGAGGCACCCTTAATTTCTGCAGCCCTGAGCTTTGTGCCATGAGAGCTCTCTGGCTTCTACCCGTGATGTGAGACTGTATTGTGTCTACTCTGTCAGGCTCTTCTTCTCTTTTCTCTTTTAAGGTCCCTCTTTTAAGTACCTCTTTTAAGGTAGGAAAACTCATTTCTGGGCCAGGAGAAGAAGAAATGCAGCAATCTTCTCTGCACTGCTCAGTTTGCCTGAGTTGCCAAGTGCTCCCCGTTTTTCTTGTACCCTGCAATTCCAAGTCCATATTTTCCCCAAAGCAAAAGAATTCAGAGGGAACCACCTACAGTTCAGTAAGCGATTTCAGTATTTATTTCTGACTGTGGCAATTCCTTCAGTTCAGAAGTCACACTTAATTGACGGTGCCTGCTTTAATTCTGACCAAGCTTGCAGTGGCAGCTGGCTTCCCAAGGCTGCAGTACGTGGTGGTGGCACAGCCTCGGGCGTCTGCATTTGTGCCAATGCCACATTTCCTTTCTCTGTCTCACAGGTCAGCTGGCGCTAGAAGTGGACGGCATCCAGTGTGAATGGAGGTCAGTGCAGGAGCAGCTGCTGCTGGGAGGAAGGAAGTGCAGGCTGATGGACGCTGACGCATCTCCCGGCACGGCACCAGAGGAGGCAGCGGTGATGCTGGGGGGCAGCTGCAGAAGAACACGAGGAGCTCCTCAGCAGGAAGCCACAGACCCTGCAGAAAGCTGCAGCGGACTCAGAGCACGCGTGGATGCCCAGGAGGAAATGCAGGCCCAGCTTTTGAGCAGCACCTGGCCACGGAGTGCTGCGGCCCAAGAACAAAGCTGTTGTGCCTTTGCCCAGATGGCTTTCCAAGGTGGACTCGTCTGTCCTCACGAAAACCAGAGGGCTGACTCATCCAAATGCTGGCTGATTGCTTGGAAGCCCAAATCCTTCCAGCCTCCAATCTGGGGGCAGCCTGGGGGCAACATCTCCTGGGTCTGATCATGCGGAGCCCAGGGCCTCACATCTCCGTTAGAGAGGCTGACACACGCCCTGGGCCTAAAGATGCTGCCAGAGAAGCCAGCAGTGGCCCTGGGGCCTAAACACACAGCCAGAGAGACTGGCACCGGCCAAGGGACCTGAAGCCACAGCCTGAGCGGCCAGCACCGACCCTGGGTTGAGGCACAGCCAGAGAGGCTGCACTGGCCCTGGGCCTAAACCTGGAGCCACAGCACGAGAAGCCGGCAGCAGCTTCAGGCCTGAAGCCACAGCCTGAGAGCCAGCCCTGAAGTCTGAAGCTCCAGACAGAGAGCCAGCACCAGCCCTGGGCCATAATGCCGCGGTTACAGCCACAGGGGCAGCGCCAGAGCCGGGGCTGACAGCCACACGTACAGCCGGGCGGGCTGGCACCAGCCGTGGAGCCTAAAGCCAGTCCTGAAAGGCCAGCACAAGGCCTAGGCCTGACGCACAGCCCGAGAGGCCGGCACCGGCCTGGGGCCCAAAGCCAGAGGCAGAGGCCGGCACCGGCCCTGGGCACAGCTGTGCCTTCCTATTGCTTTCTGCTGATTCCTACAGGGCTCCACTGACCGCTCTGAGGCCATGCTGCTCCTTACTGGTTTTCACTTGGCCATGCTGCACTTTGCTGCTCCGTACTGCTCTGCACTCCTCCCAGCTCCTACTTGTTCCTCTGGGACCCCGCTGACCACTACGAGGCCATACTGCGTTTTTACTGGGCTGCACAAGGGCCGTCTTCACTTCTCTGTTGCTTTACTTCAATTAACCCCACTCAATGAACCCCATTCACCACGTTGGGTGAGTCTCATGTTTCCTACAATTTGGATCTGGGAGGTGACCACTCCTTTGACTATGATGCAAGCACAGCGGTGATGCAGGCACTTGCTGAGGTCACAGTGGTTGCCAGGCTTGGGAGCGTTTGTGCCCCAGCTGGAGCAGAGCTGATGCTCTGGTGAGCGTGCTGCACACCGAGACTGAGCTCTGTGCTTTTCGAGTGACAGATCATCCTTTAGAGCCCACTGGGAGCAGCGCTGCGGCGTGTGCGTCAGCTGGGCACCGCTCCGGCTGGGCAGTGACCAGGTGAGCTGGGTTGGTGCTGGCTGGGTGCCGGGAGGTGTCTCAGCACAAAAGCCGGGCTGGGGAGGGGTTCCCAGCTCCAGCGGTGCCCCTCAGCACGGCTGTTTCCAGGGGAAATGGTTCTTGTGGAGATTCCATCCCACGTTTCAGTGAGGATGATGGGATGTCCTTCCTCCCCTGGAAAATCACTGCTGAGCCCCCGCCTTCATGGCGGACGTTGAAAAGCAAGGACAGCACAAGCTTCTCAGAGCACAGCTCTACCCCCTGCCCCACGCATGGCTGGGTGCAGAGCTGTTGAGGAGATGGAGAAGGGCGCTTGCTGACACAAGCCGTGGCAGTCAGACACAAACTGGACCTGGTGGCAGGCGGCTCTCGCAGCCAGCTGACGTCCAGACGCTGCCCTCCTCAAGAGACTCCATGGCGCGGCAGAAGAAAGCTGGGAAGATGCTTCTTCCTCCTGATGTTTCACTGGTGGATCCTTTCTGCAGGGTTCCTGTCCAAAAGGAGATTCTTAGAGATCAAGGCCATCAAAGACAGAGGGAAGCCAGCTCTATCCAAGAGCACAGAAGTTCCTGTGCACAGCCCTTGGAACTTCAGCTTCCTCTGAGACAGCGGCCATGTCTCAGCCAGGGGACGACCGCAGTTCCAATTCCTGCTCTGGGAGAGGAAAGGTACGGCTGGGTTTCCTTGGCTTGCTTCTTCTTCCTTTTTCTCACGTTTCAGGGAACGGCTGGAGCAGGGGGAGCCCTGCAGGTCCTTTGTGACCTCAGTCACCAGTTGCATTCTGCGCTCGCTGCTGACAGCCCGGGCTGATGGCGTGGGCATGACTGGGGCCCTATTTTCCCTTAGTGATAAAGAACATCTCAGCACTCTGCTATCCCATCTCTGGCACGACCTGGAAGCTCTGTGCAAACCTTGGCTGCCCGTTCCCTCCAACGTTTCTTCCTTTCTCTCCTCAGAAGCAGCGCGGCGCGGTTCCCCGCGTTTGGAGGCAGCAGCCAGCAGGCTGCCAGAGATCCAACGGCGCCTCGCAGCGCACAGAGGGACGCGATGGGGACGGGCCGTCCTCACTGCCACGCAAAAGTGAGTTTCTGCAGTCCTCTGTCGTGAAGGATGGAGGAATGCATGCTAGGTATCACTTCTGAGCGGCTGCAGTGCTGTAGCGATGTCCAGTAACCACGATGGAAGCATTAGAGAGGCCGACAGCAACAGCTGATGGCAGCAGCACAACAGAAGTCTGTGTATAAGTGGTGGTGCTCAGAGCTGAGTGCATTCCTTTTAGGGCCAAAAAATACCTGCCTCAACTTTTGCACCCGGTAGCGTTTTGTTTGCTGATGCAGCTTTGCTCTGCAGATTGCAGAGCAGTCAGGCAGTCCGGGGTTCCTCTGCTGCCATCTGACAGGAATGAGAGCAGTAATGCTTTGTGTAAGCACACTGCAGTTTGAACATCAGTTTCTGCTCTGGCTGTAGAACAGCGTCTTTTGGTTTTGGGGGTGGGTGTGGGCTGACAGGACAGGGCTGCTCCTGGTGTCTGTGCAATCACACTGCATCTGTTGTTGCAGGGACGGAGCCTGCGCGTCCGTGGGATGGTGCTGGGCACGGGGGGAAACGGAAAGCCTCCCCAGGTAAGAAGCTCCTGGGAGCTGTGGTGTGGGTGCTGCCTCTAAGCAGGGCTGCATGCAGGGCTGTGTGTGATGGAGGGGAGACGAAAGGGCGCTGCAGATCTGTGCTGACTGCAGAAGTGGCACAACGCTGTAGCAGCGGAAAGAAACGATGCTTGAGGAGCAGAAGTCTGTGGCTGGCAGTGCTAAAATGTTTGTCCAAAGAGATGCTCTTCATGTCTTTGTTTCCTTTCTGTCAGAAGCTGATGCAAGCAGCCTTCCAGCCAAGCGCAGCCTTGCAGAAAGGCAAGGCAGAAGCACCGAGTGTGGCACAGCACCCAAGAGAGGTACGGACACACAGCAGGCACCTGGGTTTGGTGCACTGTCTTTCTAGCTGGGCTCTCTGTCTGTTCTTTCTGGGACTGACGTTGCTGTGTGTCGCTTGAGGTATTAATCCCTGGGATCTACTATTACCTTCCTGTCCTGTTTTGTAATCTCAACCCAACGTGCTAAGATTCCATACTGTGCACGCTCAAGAACAGATTTCAGAGTATCGTGGCCCATCTTGCAGACTGAAAGAAGCACTGGACTCTCGTTGTATCTCCTCTCTTCTCTTCTCTTGATGATAACAGACAGAGGTGCTGAGCCCAACGGAAAGATCTACGCGAAAGCGGTGCAGGAGGTCCTTTCAGAGAGAGCTCGTCTGCAGGCTGGAGGGCTTCCTCCATCAGCAGGTCCCAGCTCAGGGGGAAGACCTGCCCCTGCCGTGTGCCCCCGCTCTGTCTCCAAGTCCCTGGCTGGAGGTAAACGCAAGGGCTTGGAAGAAGAGCAGCAAACAGCAGCGCAGCTGCCTGCTACCAAAAGAGCGAGGGCTGAGAGCGGAGGCAGCGTGCCGGCTCCAGCAGCACAGCCTGGGCCTGCTGCAGCACGGAGCTCCAAGCTGAGAGGTAAGCAGGTGCTGTGCTACCGCCCTGCAGGGCAGGTGCTGCCCTTATCAAGCACACGGAGGCTGCACGGGGTTTGCTTTGCTTTTTCCTTCTCTGCAGAGGGGAAAAGAGTTGAAGCCTCCAAAGTCCCAAGGCACTGAGGTGCCATGTAACCCCGTCTCTTTAACTGCACGCTGGTCTTCTGTTTGTCCCCCTGGAAATGGCATTCACTGAGAGGCTTCCTGCTCAAATTTCCCCTGTCTTTGTTCTGCCTTCTGCTTTTGCGGTACCCTGTTTACACCGTTCTGCTGCTGACAGAATGAATTCATTTTTATTCTTGCTTTATAGCAAGAAGACGACAACAAAAAGAGAGGAGAGGGCAACTGAAGAAGGCTTCCCTCAGGGCTGCAGCTGCACATGCAGAGGTGAGTCCCTGGTGAGCACAGACACGGCTCTTGTTGCCCTCAGTGCCTGTGTCTGACAGCCGTGAAAGATGCTGTGATGTCCTGAGGGCAGCGATGTCACAGAAAAACACCCCGCTGTGTGTCTGAGGAAATCACGCTGTCAGTGAGAGCTGCCCAGGGGAGCTTGGGTGCCTTCCTCTGCCTTCAGAAGGGCACCGTTGGTAACGGCCGGAGGGTTTTGCTGCCATAAAGAGCCTTGCCGTGTCGGGCACTGCGACCTTGCAAACCTCGTTCCCCCAGCAGAGCATGAATCTTAGCATAGGCAGCTGCTGTGGGAAGTAACGCCAGTGACCTGAATGGCAGGAACGGGCTGTGCTGCATGGGGCCGTTCTGCAAGTGCACTCATCAGCCTTGCTTAAGGAGATCTGCCCACATTGTTTCTGTCCTGTTTCTACACCCGCTCTGTTTCTTTCCAGTCCTCCGCCATGAACAGCCTGGTGGAGATGATGCAGAAGCTGCAGCTGAACGACTGAGAGGAGGAGCATCAGCAGGCAGCGCTGCAGTGCGCGGCGTTGCAGGGCAGCGTTCCGAGTGCCGCCCAACTCGGCATTCCTAGTTTGGTTTAGTCAATAAAAACATCACCATAGAGATCAACACAGAGCGCACGGCCCGATTTGTCCAGTGGCATCCATGAGCTGCTGCCCCAAGGACGTTCTGACGCACTCACATAACAGCTGTGCAGTCACACACACGTGTGCACATCCTTGCACAAGGGGAAAAACGGGGATGTGTAGGAGAAAACCCCAGGTTTAAGGGGAAAAACAGGGATTTCTAAAAGGAAAAGCCATATTGAAGGGGAAAAACCCCAGATGTAAGGGGAAAAACAGGGATTTCTGGGAGAAAACCACGGATTTAAGGAGAAAAACGGGGATTTCTAAGAGAAAAACCCATATTTAAGAGGAAAAACGGATATCTAGCAGAACAACCCAGATTTCAGGGGAAAAACTGGGATTACTAAAAGGAAAAGCCATATTTAAGGGGAAAAACATTAGATTTAAGGGGAAAAACAGGGATTTCTAGCAGAAAACCCCAGATTTAAGCGGAAATACCCCAGATTTTAGGGGAAAAACAGGGATTGTTCAACATCTTCACCAATGACCTTGAGGAGGGGATAGTGGCCACCCTCAGCAAGTTTGCTGATGATACCAAGTTGGGAGGATTGGCTGAAATGCCTGAAGGCCGCGCTGCCGTTCAGCGAGAGCTGGACAGGCTGCAGAGCTGGGCAGAAAAAAACACATGAGGTTTAACAAAAGCAAGAGTAGAGTCTTGCATCTGGGGAGGAATAATTGCATGCACCAGTACAGGATGGGGATGAGCTGCTGGAGGGGAGCTCTGCGGAGAGGGACCTGGGTGTCCTGGTGGACGACAGGTCGGCCATGAGCCAGCAGTGTGCCCTTGTGGCCAAGAGGGCCAGTGGCATCCTGGGGTGCATTGCACAGAGCGTGGCCAGCAGGTCGAGGGAGGCGATCCTCCCCCTCTGCTCTGCCCTGCTGAGGCCTCATCTGGAGCTCTGCGTCCAGTTCTGGGCTCCCCAGCACAGAACAGACAGGGATCTCTTGGAAAGAGTCCAGCGGAGGGCCACCAAGATGGCGAGGGGCCTGGAGCATCTCTGCTATGAGGAAAGGCTGAGTGAACTGGGTCTGTTCAGCCTGGAGAAAAGAAGGCTGAGAGGGGACCTGATCCAGGTCTATCAGTATCTGAGGTGTGGGGGGCAGAATGGCGAGGCCGGACTCTGTTCAGTGGTGAGTGGAGACAGGACAAGGGGAATGGATGGAAACTGCAGCATAGGAAGTTCTGCACAAATATGCACAAGAACTTCTGTACAGTGAGGTGACGGAGAGCTGGAACAGGCTGCCCAGGGAGGTGGGGGAGTCTCCTGCTCTGGAGATGTTCAAGACCTGCCTGGATGCCGACCTGTGTGACTTGGTGTAGGAACTGCTTGGGCAGGGGGTTGGACTCGATGAGCTCTGGAGGTCCCTTCCAACCCCTACAGTTCTGTGATTCTGTGTGATTCTGTGATCCCAGCTCATCCCAGCTTCATCCCAGCCCATCCCAGCACCACCCCAGCACAGCCCAGAATATCCCAGCACATCCTAGCTCATCCCACACCATCCCAGCACGATCCCAGCATAACCAAGCATCAAACCAGCATCATCCCAGCACATCTGACCACCATCCCAGCACAACCCATTCATCCCATACTATTTTGCACGATCCCAGCATCATCCCAGCACGATTCCAGCACCTCCCAGCCGCATCACACACCATCTCACACCATGACAGAACATCCCAGCACTTTCCCAGTACATAGCAGCACCATCCCACAACACCCCAGCATGTCCAAGGATGATCCCAGCACATCCCAGCACATCTCATCCCAGCCACTGCATCCCAGAACATCCCACCACATCGCAGCACATCCCAGCAACATCCCATCAAATTCCCACACCATCACAGCAAATCCCAGCCCCATCTCAGCACATCCCAGCCCATCCCAGCAAATCCCAGCCCATCCCAGCACATCCCAGCACCATCACATCCCAGCCCATCCCAGCACATCCCAGCACCATCCCAGTAACATCCCAGCACCATCCCAGTAACATCCCAGCACGTCCCAGCCCATGCCAGCACCATCTAAGCACCATCTAAGAACCATTCAAGCACATCCCACACCATTACAGAACATCCCAGCACCATCCCAGCACATCTCATCCCACACCATCCCAGCACAACCCAGCACCATCCCAGCACAAGCCAGAACCATCCCAGCTGCATCCCACACCATCCCAGCACTATCCAAAAAACATCCCAGCACATCCCAGCACAACCCAGCACGTCCCACACAATTCCACACCATCCCACCACCTGCCCATCACCTTCCCAGCACATTCACAGCACCAGCGCACAACATCCCAGCCGCATACCAGCACCATCCCAGGACATCCCAGCACCAGCCCACCACATCCCAGCACATCCCAGAACCATTCCACACCTTCCAAGCACCATCCCAGAACATCCCAGCACATCAAAGCAAAGCACATCCCAGCACCATCCCACACCATCCCAGCACACCCCAGCACCTCCCAGCACATTCCAGGACATCCCAGCACATTCCAGGACATCCCAGCACAAGACCACCGCATCCCAGCATATCCCAGAACCATCCCACACCTTCGCAGCACCATCCCAGTACATCCCACCACATCCCAGCTCATCCCAGCACAACCAAGACATCCCATACTATTCCACACGATCCCAGCACGTTCCCAGCACCATTCAAGCACCTCCCAGCCGCATCAAACATCCTCCACACCATCACAGAACAAACCAGCACCATCCCAGCTGCATCCCACACCATCCCAGTACATTGCAGCACCATCTCACAACACCCCAGCACGTCCCAGCCCCATCCCAGCACAACCCAGCACGTCCCACACAATTCCATACCATCCCAGCACGTCCCAGCACGTCCCAGCACCATCCCAGCACCATTCCAGCACTATTCCAGCACATCCCAGAACAGCCCACACCATCCAGCACATCCCAGCCACTGCCCAGCCCAAGCCCTGCACTCCCCAGCATCATCCCAGCACATCCCAGCATCATCCCAGCACATCACAACACATCCCAGAACCATCACACACCATCCGGTAACAAGTGGTGTCCCCCAAGGGTCTGTCTTGGGACCGGTGCTCTTTAACATCTTTATTAATGACATCGATGAGGGAATTGAGTGCACCCTCAGCAAGTTTGCTGACGACACCAAGCTGAGTGGTGCGGTTGATACGGCGGAAGGAAGGGATGCCATTCAGAGGGACCTCGACAGGCTTGAGGGCTGGGCTCGGGTGAACCTAATGAGGTTCAACACGGCAAAGTGCAAGGTTTTGCATTTGGGCCGGAAGAACCCCAGGCACCCGTACAGGCTGGGAGGAGTGGTCCTTGAGAGCAGCTCGGCAGAGAAGGACCTCGGGGTCCTGATGGACGAGAGACTTAACATGAGCCAGCAGTGCGCTCTGGCAGCTCGAAAGGCAAATGGGATCCTGGGCTCCATCAGGAGAGGGGTGGTCAGCAGGGAGAGGGAGGTGATCGTCCCTCTCTACTCGGCTCTTGTGAGGCCCCACCTGGAGTACTGTGTCCAGGTGTGGAGCCCTCAGTACAAGAAAGACATAGAGATCTTGGAAAGGGTCCAGAGGAGGGCGACTGAGATGATCAGGGGGCTGGAGCACCTCCCCTATGAGGACAGGCTGAGGGAGTTGGGCTTCAGCCTGGAGAAGAGAAGGCTGCGGGGCGACCTCATTGCAGCCTATCAATACCTGAAGGGAACCTACACCCAGGAGGGGAGTAAACTCTTCAGAAGGGCTGACAACAGCAGGACTAGGGGAAATGGATCAAAGTTGAAGGAGGAAAGATTTAGGTTGGATGTTAGGGGGAAGTTCTTCACAAGGAGAGTGGTTAGGCCCTGGAACAGGCTGCCCAGGGAGGTTGTGGATGCCCCGTCCTTGGACGTGTTCAAGGCCAGGTTGAACGGGGTCCTGGGCAACCTGATCTGAATGTGTGTGTTTGGTGGCCCTGCTAGGCAGGGGGGTTGGAACTACATGATCCTTGAGGTCCCTTCCAACCCAGGTGATTCTGTGATTCTGTGATTCTGTGATTCTGTGATCCCAGCCCCATCGCAGAACCATCCCACACTTTCCCAGAACATCCCATCACAATCCCATCACAACCCCACACCATCCCAGCACATCCCAGCACATCCCAGCACATCCCAAAACCATCCCAGCACCTGCATCCCATCCATGTATCTATCTAGAAACTCTGCTTCCCCAGTCCTTCAGTGAACAGACAGAAAGACACCCACCCTGTGCTGCCTTCTCCTTCACCATTTTCTTCAGGACATGGCAGAGCCTCTGCGGATATTCTCCAATTCTCCATACCTCTTTCTGTCTCTCAGGACCTGAACACAAAGCACGAAAATACATTTCAGACAAACAAAGGATTGAACCGAATGGTCTTTTTGGTGAAGTCAATAAGGACAACAGCCACCCCTGGGACGCCTGTGGGGCTCCAGCACGGCAGGCAGCCAAGGATTTTGGCCCGGCCTTCCCTGCAGGCACTTCTGCACCCAAAGGCTGAGGAGAACTTTCCATCACACGCTGCCATCTACGCAGCTGCGTAGCAGAGTTATGCAAGTTGCAGAGCTGCCACGTGGGCAGCTGGCTGGCGCTCAGCATCCCAGCACCATCTCAGCACCATTCAAGCACATCCCACACAATATAGAACATCCCAGCATGTCCAAGGATGATCCCAGCACATCCCAGCACATCTCATCCAAGTCGCTGCATCCCAGAACATCGCACCACTTCACAGAACCATCCCACATCATCCCAGCACATCCCAGCACAACCCAGCACCATCACATCACCTTCCCACACCATCCCAGCACATCCCAGCACATCCCAACCCCATACCAGCACCATCACAGCACATCCCAGCACCAGCCCACTGCATCCCAACATATCCCAGAACCATCCTACACCTTCCCAGCACCATCCCAGAACAACCCAGCACAACCCAGCACCATCCCACCACATCCCAGCATGTCCCAGCAACATCCCAGCATGGCCCACCACATCCCAACCACACCCCAGCACATCCCAGCACAACCCAGCACCATCCCAGCACCATCCTAGACCATCCCATCACATCCCAGTCCCCTCCCAGCAAATCCCAGACTCATCCCAGCACAAACAAGCACCATCACAGCGCATCCCAGCCACATCCCAGTAACATCCCAGCACAAACTAGTACCATCCCAGCACCATCTAAGCACCATTCAAGCACATCCCACACCATTACAGAACATCCCAGCACCATCCAATCACATCCCAGCACATCTCATCCCAGCAGCTGCATCAAAGAACATTCCACCACTTCGCAGCACCATCCCACACCATCCCAGCACAACTAAGCACAAACCAGCACCATCCCAGCCCCTTACCAGCACCATCCATGGACTTCCCAGCAGCAATCCAGGACATCCCAGCATATCCCAGAACCATCCGTGCACAACCAGGAACATCCCAGCACGTTCCAGAACCATTCAAGCACATCCCAGCATAGCCCAGGTCCACTCCAGAACATCCCAGCACATTCCAGCCCTATCCAAGCACATCCCTGCCCCATACCAGCACCATACAAGGACATCACAGTTCATCCCACACCATCCCAGCACATCCCAGCATCATCCCACACCATCCCTGCACCATCCCAGATCCATCCCAGCACCTGCATCCCATCCATGTATCTATCTAGAAACTCCGCTTCCCCAGTCCTTCAGTGAACGGACAGAAAGACACCCACCCTGTGCTGCCTTCTCCTTCACCATTTTCTTCAGGACATGGCAGAGCCTCTGCGGATATTCTCCAATTCTCCATGCCTCTTTCTGTCTCTCAGGACCTGAACACAAAGCACGAAAATACATTTCAGACAAACAAAGGATTGAACCGAATGGTCTTTTTGGTGAAGTCAATAAAGACAACGGCCACCCCTGGGACGCCTGTGGGGCTCCAGCACGGCAGGCAGCCAAGGATTTTGGCCCGGCCTTCCCTGCAGGCACTTCTGCACACAAAGCCTGAGGAGAACTTTCCATCACACGCTGCCATCCACGCAGCTGTGTAGCAGAGTTATGCAAGTGGCAGAGCTGCCAGGTGGGCAGCTGGCTGGCACTCAGCATCCCAGCACCACCTAAGCACCATTCAAGCACATCTCACACAGTCCTAGCACATCCCAGCACCGTCCCACAACACCCCAGCATGTCCAAGGATGATCCCAGCACATTCCAGCACATCTCATCCCTGCCGCTGCATCCCACAACATCCCACACCATCCCAGTACAAGCCAGCCCCATCCCAGCACAACCCAGGAAGTCCCACACAATTCCACACCAACCCAGCACCTTCCCAGCACCAGCCCATAATATCTCTGCTCCATACCAGCACCATCCCAGGACATCCCAACACCAGCCAACAACATCCCAGCATATTCCTGAACCATCCCACACCTTCCCAGCACCATCTCAGCATATCCCACCACATCCCAGCAAATCCCACCATCATCCCACACCATCCCTGCACAGCCCAGCACCATCCCACCACATCCCAGCACCATCCCAGCATGGCCCAGCACATCCCAACCACAGCCCAGCTCATCACAGCACATCTGAGCACCATCCCAGCACAATCCTGACATCCCATACTATTCCACACGATCCCAGCACCTTTCCAGCACCATTCCTGCACCTCCCAGCCGCATCACACATCCTCCACACCATCACAGCACAAACCAGCACCATCCCACAACATCCCAGCACGTCCAAGCACCGTCCCACATCATCCCAGCACCATCCCACAACACCCCAGCATGTTCAAGGATGATCCCAGAACATCCCAGCACATCTCATCCCAGCCGCTGCATCCCACACCATCTCAGCATGTCCAAGCACCATCCCACAACATCCCAGCTGGTCCCAGCCCCATCCCGGCACAACCCAGCACGTCCCACACAGTTCCACACCATCCCACCACCTGCCCATCACCTTCCCAGCACATTCACAGCACCAGCGCACAACATCCCAGCATATCCCAGAACCATTCCACACCTTCCAAGCAGCATGCCAGAACATCCCAGCACATCAAAGCAAAGCACATCCCAGCATCATCCCACACCATCCCTGCACAACCCAGCACCATCCCACAACATCACAGCACAACCCAGCACATCCCAACACTCCATAGCCCCATGTTAGCACATGTCAGCACCTTCCCAGCACATCCCAGCCCCTTACCAGCACCATCCATGGACATCCCAGCACCATTCCAGGACATCCCAGCACATCCCAGAACCATTCCACACCTTGCCAGCACCATCCCAGAACATCCAAGCACATCCATGCACCATCCCACCACCATCTCAGTACCACCCCATAACACTCCAGTGTGTCCAAGGATGATCCCACACCATCCCAGCACGTCCCAGTACAACCCAGCACCATCCCAGCATCATCCCACACTATCCTAGCACATCCTAGCTGGTCCCATCCCCAGCCCAGCGCATCCCAGCACATCCAAGCACATCCCAGCAGCATCCCAGCACCATCCCAGCACATCCCAGCAGCATCCCAGCACATCCCAGCACATCCCAGCTCATCCCAGCACCATCCCAGCACATCCCAGCACCATCCCAGCACCATCCCAGAACATCCCAGCACCATATCAACACATCCCAGAACGTCCCAGTATATCCCAGCACATTCCAGCCCCAACCCAGAACTTCCCAGTACATCCCAGCACATCCCAGTATATCTGAGCAACACCCTAGCAAAATCACATCACAATCCCACACCATCCCAGCAACATCCCAACACATTACCACACCATCCCAGCACACACCAGCAAGAGCCCAGCACCATCCCAGCATCATCCCACACCATCCCTGCACAACCAGGACCATCCCAGCACGTTCCAGCACATCCCAGCACATCCCAGATCCATCCCAGCACCTGCATCCCATCCATGTATCTATCTAGAAACTCTGCTTCCCCAGTCCTTCAGTGAACGGACAGAAAGACACCCACCCTGTGCTGCCTTCTCCTTCACCATTTTCTTCAGGACATGGCAGAGCCTCTGCGGATATTCTCCAATTCTCCATGCCTCTTTCTGTCTCTCAGGACCTGAACACAAAGCACGAAAATACATTTCAGACAAACAAAGGATTGAACCGAATGGTCTTTTTGGTGAAGTCAATAAAGACAACAGCCACCCCTGGGACGCCTGTGGGGCTCCAGCACGGCAGGCAGCCAAGGATTTTGGCCCGGCCTTCCCTGCAGGCACTTCTGCACCCAAAGCCTGAGGAGAACTTTCCATCACACGCTGCCATCTACGCAGCTGCGTAGCAGAGTTATGCAAGTTGCAGAGCTGCCACGTGGGCAGCTGGCTGGCGCTCAGCATCCCAGCACCATCTAAGCACCATTCAAGCACATCCCACACAATACAGAAGATCCCAGCAAGTCCAAGGATGATCCCAGCACATCCCAGCACATCTCATCCCAGCTGCTGCTTCCCAGAACATCCCAGCACATCCCAGCACAACCCAGCACAACCCAGCACAACCCAGCAAGTCCCACACAATTCCACACCATCCCAGCACCTACCCAGCACCTTCCCAGCACCAGCCCATAATATCTCTGCTCCATACCAGCACCATCCCAGGACATCCCAACACCAGCCAACCACATCCCAGCATATTCCTGAACCATCCCACACCTTCCCAGCACCATCCCACAACATCCCAGCACATCCCAGTACAACCCAGCACAATCCCAGCTGCATCCCACAACATCCCAGCTGGTCCCAGCTCCATCCCGGCACAACCCAGCACGTCCCACACAGTTCCACACCATCCCACCACCTGCCCATCACCTTCCCAGCACATTCACAGCACCAGCGCACAACATCCCAGCCGCATACCAGCACCATCCCAGGACATCCCAGCACCAGCCCACCACATCCCAGCATATCCCAGAACCGTTCCACACCTTCCAAGCAGCATCCCAGAACATCCCAGCACATCAAAGCAAAGCACATCCCAGCATCATCCTACACCATCCCTGCACATCCCAGCACCATCCCACAACATCCCAGCACAACCCAGCACATCCCAGCACTTCATAGCCCCATGTTAGCACATGTAGGCACCTTTCCAGCACATCCCAGCCCCTTACCAGCACCATTCCAGGACATCCCAGCACATCCCAGAACCATTCCACACCTTGCCAGCACCAACCCAGAACATCCAAGCACATCCATGCACCATCCCACCACCATCTCAGTACCACCCCATAACACTCCAGTGTGTCCAAGGATGATCCCACACCATCCCAGCACGTCCCAGTACAACCCAGCACCATCCCAGCATCATCCCACACCATCCCAGCACATCCTAGCTGGTCCCATCCCCAGCCCAGCGCATCCCAGCACATCCAAGCACCATCGCAGCAGCATCCCAGCAAATCCCAGCACATCTCAGCACATCCCAGCACATCCCAGTACATCCCAGCACCATCCCAGAACATCCCAGCACCATATCAACACATCCCAGAACGTCCCAGTATATCCCAGCATATTCCAGCCCCAACCCAGAACTTCCCAGTACATCCCAGCACATCCCAGTATATCTGAGAAACACCCTAGCAAAATCACATCACAATCCCACACCATCCCAGCAACATCCCAACACATTACCACACCATCCCAGCACACACCAGCAACAGCCCAGCACCATCCCAGCATCATCCCACACCATCCCTGCACAACCAGGACCATCCCAGCACGTTCCAGCACCATTCAAGCACATCCCAGCGTAGCCCAGGTCCATCCCAGAACATCCCAGCACATTCCTGCCCTATCCAAGCACATCCCAGCATCCCATACCAGCACCATACAAGGACATCACAGTTCATCCCACACCATCCCAGCACATCCCAGCATCATCCCACACCATCCCAGCACCATCCCAGAACCATCCCAGAACCATCCCAGCACCTGCATCCCATCCATGTATCTATCTAGAAACTCTGCTTCCCCAGTCCTTCAGTGAACAGACAGAAAGACACCCACCCTGTGCTGCCTTCTCCTTCACCATTTTCTTCAGGACATGGCAGAGCCTCTGCGGATATTCTCCAATTCTCCATGCCTCTTTCTGTCTCTCAGGACCTGAACACAAAGCACAAAAATACATTTCAGACAAACAAAGGATTGAACCGAATGGTCTTTTTGGTGAAGTCAATAAAGACAACAGCCACCCCTGGGACGCCTGTGGGGCTCCAGCACGGCAGGCAGCCAAGGATTTTGGCCCGGCCTTCCCTGCAGGCACTTCTGCACCCAAAGCCTGAGGAGAACTTTCCATCACACGCTGCCATCTACGCAGCTGCGTAGCAGAGTTATGCAAGTTGCAGAGCTGCCAGGTGGGCAGCTGGCTGGCGCTCAGCATCCCAGCACCATCTCAGCACCACTCAAGCACATCTCACACAGTCCTAGCACATCCCAGCACCGTCCCACAACACCCCAGCATGTCCAAGGATGATCCCAGCACATCCCAGCACATCTCATCCCTGCCGCTGCATCCCACAACATCCCACACCATCCCAGTACAACCCAGCCCCATCCCAGCACAACCCAGGAAGTCCCACACAATTCCACACCAACCCAGCACCTTCCCAGCACCAGCCCATAATATCTCTGCTCCATACCAGCACCATCACAGCACATCCCAGCACCAGCCAACAACATCCCAGCATATTCCTGAACCATCCCACACCTTCCCAGCACCATTCCACAACAACCCAGCACAACCCAGCACCATCCCACCACATCCCAGCATGTCCCAGCAACATCCCAGCATGGCCCACCACATCCCAACCACACCCCAGCACATCCCAGCACAACCCAGCACCATCCCAGCACCATCCTAGACCATCCCATCACATCCCAGTCCCCTCCCAGCCCACTCATCCCAGCACAAACAAGAACCATCACAGCGCATCCCAGCCACATCCCAGTAACATCCCAGCACAAACTAGTACCATCCCAGCACCATCTAAGCACCATTCAAGCACATCCCACACCATTACAGAACATCCCAGCACCATCCAATCACATCCCAGCACATCTCATCCCAGCAGCTGCATCAAAGAACATTCCACCACTTCGCAGCACCATCCCACACCATCCCAGCACAACTAAGCACAAACCAGCACCATCCCAGCCCCTTACCAGCACCATCCATGGACTTCCCAGCAGCAATCCAGGACCATCCCAGCATATCCCAGAACCATCCGTGCACAACCAGGAACATCCCAGCACGTTCCAGCACCATTCAAGCACATCCCAGCATAGCCCAGGTCCATCCCAGAACATCCCAGCACATTCCAGCCCTATCCAAGCACATCCCTGCCCCATACCAGCATCATACAAGGACATCACAGTTCATCCCACACCATCCCAGCACATCCCAGCATCATCCCACACCATCCCTGCACCATCCCAGATCCATCCCAGCACCTGCATCCCATCCATGTATCTATCTAGAAACTCTGCTTCCCCAGTCCTTCAGTGAACGGACAGAAAGACACCCACCCTGTGCTGCCTTCTCCTTCACCATTTTCTTCAGGACATGGCAGAGCCTCTGCGGATATTCTCCAATTCTCCATGCCTCTTTCTGTCTCTCAGGACCTGAACACAAAGCACGAAAATACATTTCAGACAAACAAAGGATTGAACCGAATGGTCTTTTTGGTGAAGTCAATAAAGACAACAGCCACCCCTGGGACGCCTGTGGGGCTCCAGCACGGCAGGCAGCCAAGGATTTTGGCCCGGCCTTCCCTGCAGGCACTTCTGCACCCAAAGCCTGAGGAGAACTTTCCATCACACGCTGCCATCTACGCAGCTGCGTAGCAGAGTTATGCAAGTTGCAGAGCTGCCACGTGGGCAGCTGGCTGGCGCTCAGCATCCCAGCACCATCTCAGCACCATTCAAGCACATCCCACACAATACAGAAGATCCCAGCAAGTCCAAGGATGATCCCAGCACATCCCAGCACATCTCATCCCAGCCGCTGCATCCCAGAACATCCCAGCACATCCCAGCACAACCCAGCACAACCCAGCAAGTCCCACACAATTCCACACCATCCCAGCACCTACCCAGCACCTTCCCAGCACCAGCCCATAATATCTCTGCTCCATACCACACCATCCCAGGACATCCCAACACCAGCCAACCACATCCCAGCATATTCCTGAACCATCCCACACCTTCCCAGCACCATCCCACAACATCCCAGCACTTCCCAGTACAACCCAGCACAATCCCAGCTGCATCCCACAACATCCCAGCTGGTCCCAGCCCCATCCCGGCACAACCCAGCACGTCCCACACAGTTCCACACCATCCCACCACCTGCCCATCACCTTCCCAGCACATTCACAGCACCAGCGCACAACATCCCAGCCGCATACCAGCACCATCCCAGGACATCCCAGCACCAGCCCACCACATCCCAGCATATCCCAGAACCATTCCACACCTTCCAAGCAGCATCCCAGAACATCCCAGCACATCAAAGCAAAGCACATCCCAGCATCATCCTACACCATCCCTGCACATCCCAGCACCATCCCAAAACATCCCAGCACAACCCAGCACATCCCAGCACTTCATAGCCCCATGTTAGCACATGTCGGCACCTTCCCAGCACATCCCAGCCCCTTACCAGCACCATTCCAGGACATCCCAGCACATCCCAGAACCATTCCACACCTTGCCAGCACCAACCCAGAACATCCAAGCACATCCATGCACCATCCCACCACCATCTCAGTACCACCCCATAACATTCCAGTGTGTCCAAGGATGATCCCACACCATCCCAGCACGTCCCAGTACAACCCAGCACCATCCCAGCATCATCCCACACCATCCCAGCACATCCTAGCTGGTCCCATCCCCAGCCCAGCGCATCCCAGCACATCCAAGCACCATCGCAGCAGCATCCCAGCACATCCCAGCACATCCCAGCACATCCCAGCACCATCCCAGCACATCCCAGTACATCCCAGCACCATCCCAGAACATCCCAGCACCATATCAACACATCCCAGAACGTCCCAGTATATCCCAGCATATTCCAGCCCCAACCCAGAACTTCCCAGTACATCCCAGCACATCCCAGTATATCTGAGCAACACCCCAGCAAAATCACATCACAATCCCACACCATCCCAGCAACATCCCAACACATTACCACACCATCCCAACACACACCAGCAACAGCCCAGCACCATCCCAGCATCATCCCACACCATCCCTGCACAACCAGGACCATCCCAGCACGTTCCAGCACCATTCAAGCACATCCCAGATCCATCCCAGCACCTGCATCCCATCCATGTATCTATCTAGAAACTCTGCTTCCCCAGTCCTTCAGTGAACAGACAGAAAGACACCCACCCTGTGCTGCCTTCTCCTTCACCATTTTCTTCAGGACAAGGCAGAGCCTCTGCGGATATTCTCCAATTCTCCATGCCTCTTTCTGTCTCTCAGGACCTGAACACAAAGCACGAAAATACATTTCAGACAAACAAAGGATTGAACCGAATGGTCTTTTTGGTGAAGTCAATAAAGACAACAGCCACCCCTGGGACGCCTGTGGGGCTCCAGCACGGCAGGCAGCCAAGGATTTTGGCCCGGCCTTCCCTGCAGGCACTTCTGCACCCAAAGCCTGAGGAGAACTTTCCATCACACGCTGCCATCTACGCAGCTGCGTAGCAGAGTTATGCAAGTTGCAGAGCTGCCACGTGGGCAGCTGGCTGGCGCTCAGCATCCCAGCACCATCTCAGCACCATTCAAGCACATCCCACACAGTCCTAGCACATCCCAGCACCATCCCACAACACCCCAGCAAGTCCAAGGATGATCCCAGCACATCCCAGCACATCTCATCCCAGCTGCTGCATCCCACAACATACCAACACTTCGCAGCACCATCCCACATCATCCCAGCACATCCCAGGACATTCGAGCCCCATCCCAGTACATCCCACCACATCCCAGCATGTCCCAGCACCATCCCAGCATGGCCCACCACATCCCAACCACAGCCCAGCTCATCACAGCACATCTGAGCACCATCCCAGCACAACCAAGACATCCCATACTATTCCACACCATTCCAGCACTATCCCAGCACCATTCCAGCACATCCCAGCCCCATCACACATCCTCCACACCATCTCAGCACAAACCAGCACCATCCCAACTGCATCCCACACCATCCAAGTACAGTGCAGCCCCATCCCAGCACAACCCAGCACGTCCCACACAATTCCGGCACATTCCAGCACCATCCCAGAACATCCCAGCCCTGTACTAGCATCATCCCAGGAAAACACAGCACCAGCCCACCACATCCCAGCATATCCTAGAACCATACCACACCTTCCCAGCACCATCCCAGCAGATTCCAGCACGTCTCAGCATATCCCAGCATCATCCCACAACATCCCAGCACAACCCAGCACCATCACAGCACATGCCAGCCCCAACCCAGCAGACCCCAGCACGTCCCAGCACATTCCAGGACATCCCAGCACAAGACCACCGCATCCCAGCATATCCCAGAACCATCCCACACCTTTGCAGCACCATCCCAGTACATCCCAGCACATTCGAGCCCCATCCCAGTACATCCCACCACATCCCAACACGTCCCAGCACCATCCCACCACATCCCAGCCACATCCCAGCTCATCCCAGCACAACCTAGACATCCCATGCTATTCCACACGATCCCAGCACCTTCCCAGCACCATTCCAGCACCTCCCAGCCGCATCACACATCCTCCACACCATCACAGCACAAACCAGCACCATCCCACAACATCCCAGTACATTGCAGCACCATCCCACAACAACCCAGCACGTCCCAGCCCCATCCCAGCACAACCCAGCACGTCCCACACAATTCCATACCATCAAAGCACGTCCCAGCACGTCCCAGCCACATACCAGCACCATCCCAGGACATACCAGCGCAAGCTCACCACATCCCAAAATATCATAGAACCATCCCACAACTTCCAGCATCATCCCAGAACATCCCAGCACATCCCAGCACCATTCCAGCACCATTCCAGCACCATCCCAGCACATGCCAGCAACAGCCCAGCATCATCCCAGCATCATCCCACACCATCCCATCAAGTTCCCACAACATCCCAGCACAACCCAACACATCCCAGCATCATCCCACACCATCCCTGCACAACCAGGACCATCCCAGCACTTTCCTGCACCATTCCAGCACCATCCCAGCACATCCCAGAACCATCCCAGCACCTGCATCCCATCCATGTATCTATCTAGAAACTCTGCTTCCCCAGTCCTTCAGTGAACGGACAGAAAGACACCCACCCTGTGCTGCCTTCTCCTTCACCATTTTCTTCAGGACATGGCAGAGCCTCTGCGGATATTCTCCAATTCTCCATGCCTCTTCTGTCTCTCAGGACCTGAACACAAAGCACGAAAATACATTTCAGACAAACAAAGGATTGAACCGAATGGTCTTTTTGGTGAAGTCCATAAGGACAACAGCCACCCCTGGGACGCCTGTGGGGCTCCAGCACGGCAGGCAGCCAAGGATTTTGGCCCGGCCTTCCCTGCAGGCACTTCTGCACCCAAAGCCTGAGGAGAACTTTCCATCACACGCTGCCATCTACGCAGCTGCGTAGCAGAGTTATGCAAGTTGCAGAGCTGCCACGTGGGCAGCTGGCTGGCGCTCAGCATCCCAGCACCATCTCAGCACCATTCAAGCACATCCCACACAATACAGAACATCCCAGCATGTCCAAGGATGATCCCAGCACATCCCAGCACATCTCATCCCAGCCGCTGCATCCCACAACATCCCAGCACATCCCAGCACAACCCAGCAAGTCCCACACAATTCCACACCATCCCAGCACCTACCCAGCACCTTCCCAGCACCAGCCCATAATATCTCTGCTCCATATCAGCACCATCTGAGGACATCGCAACACCAGCCAACAACATCCCAGCATATTCCTGAACCATCCCACACCTTCCCAGCACCAACCCAGAACATCCCAGCACATCCCAGTATGTCCCAGCAACATCCCAGCATGGCCCACCACATCCCAATTACACCCCAGCACATCCCAGCACATCCCAGCACCATCCCAGCAAGACCCAGCACACCCCAACCACAGCCCAGCTCATCACAGCACATCTGAGCACCATCCCAGCACAACCAAGACATCCCATACTATTCCACACCATTCCAGCACTATCCCAGCACCATTCCAGCACATCCCAGCCCCATCACACATCCTCCACACCATCACACAACAAACCAGCACCATCCCAACTGCATCCCACACCATCCCAGTACATTGCAGCACCATCCCAGCACAACCCAGCACGTCCCACACAATTCCGGCACATTCCAGCACCATCCCAGAACATCCCAGCCCTGTACTAGCATCATCCCAGGAAAACCCAGCACCAGCCCACCGCATCCCAGCATATCCTAGAACCATCCCACACCTTCCCAGCACCATCCCAGCAGATTCCAGCACATCCCAGCACAACCCAGCACCATCCCAGCACATGCCAGCCCACAGCCAGCACACCCCAGCACGTCCCAGAACATTCCAGGACATCCCAACACAAGACCACTGCATCCCACCATATCCCAGAACCATCCCACACCTTTGCAGCACCATCTCAGCACATCCCAGCACATTCGAGCCCCATCCCAGTACATCCCACCACATCCCAACACGTCCCAGCAACATCCCACCACATCCTAGCCACATCCCAGCTCATCCCAGCACAACCAAAACATCCCATGCTATTCCACACAATCCCAGCACCATTCCAGCACCATTCCAGCACCTCCCAGCCGCATCTCACATCCTCCACACCATCACAGAACAAACCAGCACCATCCCAGCTGCATCCCACAACATTGCAGCACCGTCCCACAACAACCCAGCACGTCCCACCCCATCCCAGCACAACCCAGCACGTCCCACACAATTCCATACCATCCCAGCACGTCCCAGCCACATACCAGCACCATCCCAGGACATACCAGCGCAAGCTCACCACATCCCAGCATATCCTAGAACCATCCCACACCTTCCCAGCACCATCCCAGCACATCCCAGGACATCCCAGCACCATCCCAGCATCATCCCAGCACCATTCCAGCACCATTCCAGCACTATTCCTGCACATCCCAGAACAGCCCACACCATCCAGCACATCCCAGCCACTGCCCAGCCCAAGCCCTCCACTCCCCACCATCATCCCACCATCATCCCAGCACATCGCAACACATCCCAGCCCATCGCAGAACCATCCCACTCTTTCCCAGAACATCCCATCACAATCCCATCACAACCCCACACCATCCCAGCACATCCCAGTACATCTGAGCAACACCCCAGCAAAATCACATCACAATCCCACACCATCCCAGCACCATTGCAGAACCATCCCAGCACATGCCAGCATCAGCCCAGCATCATCCCAGCATCATCCCACACCATCCCATCAAGTTCCCACACCATCCCAGCACATGCCAGCAACAGCCCTGCAACATCCCACACCATCCTTGCAAAACCAGGACCATCCCAGCACGTTCCAGCACCATCCCTGCACATCCCAGAACCATCCCAGCACCTGCATCCCATCCATGTATCTATCTAGAAACTCTGCTTCCCCAGTCCTTCAGTGAACAGACAGAAAGACACCCACCCTGTGCTGCCTTCTCCTTCACCATTTTCTTCATTACATGGCACAGCCTCTGCGGATGTTCTCCAATTCTCCATGCCTCTTTCTGTCTCTCAGGACCTGAACACAAGCACGAAA